CCAAGTCGGGCCTCCTGAGGTTTCCTGGGGGGCCCTGGTACACACATCGCAAGGTGTGGCAACCCCACTTGCGCTCGAGTGCGACCTCGATCTTAGATTCTTCTGCGTTCACCTCCTGCCTCTTCCCCTTCTCTTAGGCACGCCCTGGCGGCGCCGCCCCAGCTTCCCCTTCTCCATCTCCGATCCTGCAGTCATGGTGTCTTCCTGCTTCAAACGCCCTGTCAGTTTTTTTGTATGAGCCTGGGCACACACGTGCCCAATTGTGTATATGTATATATATACAGATAGAATATATCAGAGGTTGGGGGGTGAGATCGCATGTTAAAACGGAGACCCCCCACCAGGAAATCGGTTTCGGTTTCGTGTTCGATGTCCGTGCGTGCGGGCGGAGGCGAAGCTGGCGTGATTCTCCTGTAGCTTAAGCCGAAGTAATACGAAGTCCGTTTCGTTCCGCCGGTGCGAAGAAGAGCGAAAATCCGTTCCCGTCCGCCTGTGGCTGGGAGGTGTCCCAATTGGGCCGGGCGGTGTCCCGGGTGTCCCGGGTGTCAGTAGGAGCGAAAGTCCGTTTCCCGTCCGCCGGTGGCCCGGAGGTGTCCCAGTTGGGCCGGGCGGTGTCCCGAGTGTCCCGGTTGTCCTGGGCGTCCCGGCGCTAACGCATGTCGCGAATTTCATAATTCATTATTGTTCGGCGCCTGCGGCGGGCTTTCTTATCCAATCCAGCTTATCTTATCCAATCCATCTTGTCCAATCCAATCCATCTTATCTTATCCAACCCATATTGTCCCATCTTATCTTATCCCACCCAATCCAATCCACCCAACCCAATCCATCAATTCATTTGTTTCTGCGCCTGCGGCGGGCCAATCCAATCCATCTTACCTTATCCAATCCGTTTCGTCCAATCCAACCCATCTTATATTATCCAATCCATCTTATCCCATCCAATCCAATCCACCCAACCCAATCCATCAATTCATTTTTGTCGGCGCCTTCGGCGGGCTTTCTTATCCAATCCAGCTTATCTTATCCAATCCATCTTGTCCAATCCAATCCACAGAGAGAGAGAGAAAGAGACAGAGAGAGAGAGAGACAGAGAGAAAGAGAGAGATGAGATCAAGGTGACAGGCTGGAGGTCAGTCAGGGTGGGCATTTGATCTCAATCCCCCCCAAACCTCCTTATCGCCCGCAGGGCGGTCGTATAGGTATATGTTCCAGTTTCCGATCATGTCTCCGACGTTCCCTCTGCTGTACTCAGGACGGGGGAGCTCCAGTACTCTGAAGTCGAGGCGGATTGGTAGGTCGACCCTGCCAAGTCAAGGGTGCTCTTGCGCCCTGTGGTTGGCGACCCATGCCTTCTGCATTCCTATGGCAATGTTCGGGTGTTGCTAGAAGTGCCCCTGGCCCAAGGTGCCCCCAGGATTCTCGGGGTGGCCCAGGAGGCCTCCAGGGCACCCCTCACGAGCCCCAGAGGGCCCCAGGGGCTCCAGAATGGATCGAAAGGCTGGGGGGCACCTTGGGCCAGGGGCACTTCTAGCAACACCCGAAATGTGGCCATCGGCAGGGCCTCGTGTCCTCTCGCGGGCCCTCTCCAGTCGACCCCCGGCTGCAGGGGCCGAGGCCCCAGAGTCACGCTTCCCCGGGCGCTCCGCGCGCCCCTGGGCTGCCCCGCGCGACTTCTCCAGACGCCAGGGGGCCCGAGGAGCGCCCGGAGGGGCCTCCAGGACAGCCAGTGGGCACTCCCAGACGCCAAGGACAGCCCTAAGACGGCCCAAGAGGCCCCAGAGAAGCCCCAAGAGCGCTCCAAGAGGACCCCCCCTAGGGCCCAGATCTCTGCGAACATCATTGATTTGCCGCGCGCGTTCGAACGTCTTCGGGCCCCCGACGCTCCAAGATGGCCCCAGGCACCCCCACGGCCGCCCAAGACGGCCCAAGAGGCTCCAAGAGGCCCCCAAGAGGCCCCCAAGAGGCCCCCAAGAGGCCCCCAAGAGGCCCCCAAGAGGGCCCCAAGACGGTCCAAGAGGGCCCCAAAACGGCCCAAGAGGCGCCCGAGATCGCCCGAGACGGCCCCAAGACGGCCCCAAGAGGAGCCCAAAACGGGGAACACGAACCGACGATTCGAGCCTTCCGCCCCAAGAGGCCCCCAGGAGGCCCCAAGAGGCCACCAAGAGAGCCCAAGAGGCCCCCAGAGGCCCCACGAGGCCCCCGAGAGGCCCAAAAAGAGGCCCCAAGAGGCCCCCCAACGGCCCTCAAGAGGCCTCCAAGAGGCCCCCGAGAAGCCTCCCACGATATCCAAACGAACATCCAAGAGGCCTCTATCCCACAACCCAGGCACGATAGCGGGATGGGCCGACGGCCACTAGATATTTGCCGTCGGTGTCGTTGGCAGTTCCGTCTTGGCGATTTCCACCTTCGCAACGGTCCATGGGCTAGTTGGTCACTGCACGCGCACTGCGATGTCGGGTGGGGCCGTTGCCGCTCTGACCCTGCGCCTGGACTTCGCACTGCCGCTTGAGGGAGGAAAGGGCCTTGGCAATATGAGTCCTTGTGGCGCTTTGGGGCCCGATGTCTCTGATGCGGTACTTGGCGATGGCCAATACCGCATCGGTTCCTCGGAGTTCGATGGCCACGGCTGTGGCTCAGTCCGTGTTCAGTTCAACTCGAGCACCGACTCTTTTGACAGCACAGACGGTTCCGAAGTCGTTCAGCCTTTGAGATGCTTGGCGGATCTCGCGGAGCGTGCCCTGGTAGCCGCCCTGGCTTCGATCCGTGGCAGCCGATGTTGAATCGGATCATCATTGCCCCGAGGCGGACAGGACTATCGGGACGTCAGCCAGCCTGATGCCAAACGTTGCCGCGAGTCTCCGTTTGTATGCCACGGACCGCGCTGCAGTGGGAGGCGAAAATGGTTGTGGAGGCGTCGGTGAGATAGTGGTCAAATGTTGCGTGCGTGGTCACGCTTGGCTGCCTTGCGACGCTCCTTGGCCTTAGATTGGGCCATATGTGTTCCTTCTGGTTGCCGCGTACCGTTAATTGGTGCAGCTCCTGAGAATTGAGATGTGGAAAAAACTTGGACGGACGGCGCAAAGGCGATGGTATCCGTTTCACAGAGGCTCCGCGGATCCAGATCACATCGTCCGCGGCGGAGTCCAGTGCGACTTGGACCACGTTCTGGAAGCATTTGACTTCAGTGCGGCCCAGTTGGTACACCGCTCCCTGGATGTGGCCTGGCATGGGCTTGGTAGCCTTTGCGGTCCTACGGAGAACGGGGATGAGGATGTCTTTACCTGGGTGGTCGGTGCTTGTGGGACCCAGGACGGCTTTGGCAAGTGGATTGTCATGCGGGCGGATGTGCTGCAGGAGGCGATTTCCTTCCTCTAGCGGGTGCCGTCCGCCGCCCTGGTGGGCGCAATGGCGATGGGCATGTCTCAGTTCTGTGCATCGAAGCTGACGAACAGGGCGGTGTCGATTCATTCCCCGCACACTTTCACCAGCTCGACCCTCAGCTTGTGCTGGTTGGAACGGTGTTGTTGGTATATGATGTCGAGCTCGGCAGTATGCGTTTGAGCCAGATCATTGTATGCAGCGACTGCTCGGTCGACGTCACCATTACTCTGGAGTGCGGCGACGCCAGCTTCAATTCGGGACAGGTTGCTGTCCGGTAAGGTTACCTGTTGGCGGCCCTTGCCTGGTGGCTTGGGTTGCAGAGGATCGGGAAGATCACGGAGGAAACCATCAGGGCCATGGCGCGCGCGCGTGGACTGAAGGAGGAGGAGGAGGACGAGGAGGAGGGGGAGGAGCAGTAGGAGGAGGGGGGGGAGGAGAAGGAGGAGGAGGAGAAGGAGAGGGGAGGAGGAGGAGGAGGAGGAGGAGGAGGAGGAGGAGGAGGAGGAGGAGGAGGGGGAGGAGGAGGAGGAGGAGGAGGAGGAGGAGAAGGAGGAGAAGACACGAATCGGTCCTGTACGATTAACCAGGTCACGGTCTCACCAGGCTGAAGGGCGCGGAAGGTTTCGTGCCGTGGCTACGCTTTGGGTTGGGGGCCCTCGAGCCGAGACTGGAGAGGAGAGGGGAGGTAAGGAGTTCGACGGAGCCCTATAGGCGGTACAGTCGACGTAGCAGGCAGGGGGGAGGAGGAGGAGAAAGAGGTGAGCAGAGGAGATGACAGCTGAGGAGAGGAGACGAGGCGAAGGAAGAGAACAAGGGACAGAGCTGAGGAGGAAGGCGAGGAGAGGAGAGCAAGAGGACACCGACTGGCAGGTGAGGCACCCAACTGCCAAGGCCACCTCGAAGGGCTCTGTGCTCCCGCGCCCACTGTCGAGGCCCGAGAGACTACGATGTTCACGACGTCTCCCTCATCCCTCCTCCTCCTCCTCCGCTGCCCGCTCTTCCACCTCCCTCCTCCCCCCCCCCCTCCTCCTCCTCCTCCTCCCACCTCCACCTCCTCCTCCACCTCCTCTCATCCTCCTCCTCCTCCTCCTCCTCCTCCTCCTCTCCACCTCCTCCTACCACCTCCTCCTCATCCTCATCCACATCCTCATCCTCAATCCTCATCCTCATCCTCATCCTCAGCCTCATCCTCATCCCTCCTCCTCCTCCCCTCCTCCTCCCTCCATCCTCTCCGTCCTCCTCATGCCTCCTCCTCCACGTCCTCCTCTCCATCCTCCTCCTCTCCTCCTCCTCCTCATCCTCCTCCCTCCATCCTCCGACGGTCCCTCTTTCTTTTTTCCCCTCTCCATCCCCACCCCCCATGAAGAAGACAGATGCCACGACGAGACGCGTGAGGTTCCACCCGCAGAAGTTCGAGACGCCAGGCGACGATGGACCTTCCGAAGGCTGAAAAGATCGGGGATGAAAGGAGGGTAGAGAAGGCAGGGAGGACGCGGATGAGGGGGAGTACAACGACGAGGAGTGAGGAGGGATGAGGATGAGATTGAGGAGGTTCAGGTGGAGGAAGAGGAAGGGGGTGACAGGGCGAAAACAGGAGGATGGCAACGACGAGTGTA